ACATCCAGTGAACCACAGACCATTGTCTGTAGGACATTAGGATTCGGTGACTTTTATTTCTCTCTTTTTTATGTTTTAGAAAAACACAGAGGATTTGCTTTCATCGAGTTTGAACTTCTGGAGGTGAGATTTATATAGAAACATATATAAAATATATAGAGGATATTAGTTAGTTTCCCATTGTTCACAACAGATTTCTAGTTACATATAGCATGATGATTTTCAAAATAAAAATCTTTGTATACTGAAATTTATCTCCTGATCAAATAGCATGTATTCATATTCAAAAGAAGGTTACAAGTAAGCTTACATATATATTGACAAGATTAAGGTAAAATGATGTACTTACATAAAGGTTACTAACAGGTAGTGTATTTTTGTTTGTTCCAGGATTCTGCAGCTGCTGTGGATAACATGGTAAGTTTCCTATTTACTACTAATGTGAGGTGAATAGGACTTATGTCTTATTTGTACAAGTGTATATACTGTTAACATTTGTACAAGTGTATATACTGTTAACATATCTGTGTATGGTAATAAATTGTCTCCATATGATTAGACATTTTAAAGTTTTGCAGTGTTAATTCACAGATTTGTTTGTTGTTTACAGAATGAATCTGAACTGTTTGGCAGAACAATCAGAGTGAACATAGCTAAGCCAATGAAAATCAAGGATGGAGCGTCAAGAGCAGGTATGTAGTGTGTGTTTCCTACCAGGGGTTTGTGTAGGCATGTAGTGTGTGTTTCCTACCAGGGGTTTGTGTAGGTATGTAGTGTGTATTTCCTACAAGAGGTTTGTGTAGGTATGTAGTGTGTATTTACTACCAGGGGTTTGTGTTGGTATGAAGTGTGTATTTCCTACCAAGGGTTTGTGTAGGTATGAAGTGTGTATTTACTACCAGGGGTTTGTGTTGGTATGTAGTGTGTGTTTCCTTCCAGGGGTTTGTGTAGATATGTAGTGTGTGTTTCATTCCAGGGGTTTGTGTAGGTATGTAGTGTATATTTACTACCAGGGGTTTGTGTTGGTTTGTAGTGTGTATTTCCTACCCAGGGTTTGTGTAGGTATGTAGTGTGTATTTCCTACCAGGGGTTTGTGTAGGTATGTAGTGTGTGTTTCATTCCAGGGTTTGTTTAGGTATGTAGTGTGTATTTCCTACCAGAGGTTTGTGTAGGTATGTAGTGTGTATTTCCTACCAGGGGTTTGTGTAGGTATGTAGTGTGTGTTTCATTCCAGGGTTTGTGTAGGTATGTAGTGTATATTTACTACCAGGGGTTTGTGTTGGTATGTAGTGTGTGTTTCCTACCAGGGGTTTGTGTAGGTATGTAGTGTGTATTTCCTACCCAGGGGTTGTGTAGGTATGTAGTGTATATTTACTACCAGGGGTTTGTGTTGGTATGTAGTGTGTGTTTCATTCCAGGGTTTGTGTAGGTATGTAGTGTGTGTCTCATTCCAGGGTTTGTGTAGGTATGTAGTGTGTATATCCTACCAGGGGTTTGTATAGATATGTAGTGTGTATTTCCTACCCAGGGTTTGTGTAGGTATGTAGTGTGTATTTCCTACCAGGGGTTTGTATAGATATGTAGTGTGTATTTCCTACCAGAGGTTTGTGTTGGTATGTAGTGTGTATTTCCTACCAGGGGTTTGTGTAGGCATGTAGTGTGTATTTCATTCCAGGGTTTGTGTAGGTATGTAGTGTGTATTTCCTACCAGGGGTTTGTTTAGGTATGTAGTGTGTATTTCCTACCAGGGGTTTGTGTAGGCATGTAGTGTGTATTTCCTACCAGGGGTTTGTTTAGGTATGTAGTGTGTATTTCCTACCAGGGGTTTGTGTAGGTATGTAGTGTGTGTATTCTACCAGGGGTTTGTGGTCCTACATTGTATTTTACAGTATATGTACATCGTTACAAATGATGATGTGGTTTTAATATTGAGAATATTTTTTTGATGTATATATGTATATTTAATATGTGATCACCTAACAAGCTTCAGATGTGCTAAACTTTTATTTTCAAACCAAACAGAATCACTTGTTAGTATGATAAGACTGATGTAGAAAAAGTATCCTGATAGAACAAGGTTACATAGGAATAATTGGTTAAACAAGAACATAACCTTTCAGGAGCTTGTATTTAGACAAAGTAAAAGGAACCTAGAAATGTATAACAATACAAGATAAGAACATGACAGCAGGAACTTTAATGGTGGAAGGTTGATGTCTATACAAACAATTGATCAGGTGTGTGAAACACCAAAGAAATTTGGGGTGAAGTCCCTACTTCAGCTACCCATTCCAGTGTGCATAAAATTCTACGATTTGACTTAAGCCACATGACCTTTTAATATATATAATTCGCTAGATGGATCAAGGACAACACTGGTATTGTTGAAAACATTTGGTTTTCTGATAAGGCACATTTTGGTCTTAATGGAATTGTGAACAAGAGAAATTGTTGATACTTGGGTAGTGAAAAACCAAATGTGTATCTAGAGAAACCAGGAAACAAGTTACTCATTTTGGACAGCAATTAAGTTGTAAGGCATAATCAGTAGGCCTTACTTTTTCCGAGATATCACTGGAGAGACCCAGACTGTTAACAGTGAACATTACGTTGATATTCTAAAGAAAACGTTTCTGCCAAGTTTGTGCAGGAGAGGTATAAACCCAATTAATATATTGCTTTCAGCAGGATGGAGCAATTCCTCACAAAAAAAAATATATTGCGAGGTTGCAAAAACAGATTTGAGGAAAACTTAAAGAAGGTCAATGGATGGCTTCCTCATTTCCCTGATTTGAATCTCCTGGACTTTTAATAGCTCACCGGGTCCGAAGGACCAAGGTGAGCTTATGCCATACCGTGGCGTCCGTCGCGCGTCTGTCAACAATTTGTTCAAATGACTTCTTCTTAACTGCTGATTGGAATTTAACTAAATTTGACTGGAAGCATCCATAGGTGGTGGGGAATCAAAATTGTACAAATTGTGGGGCTGACCCTCCAGAGGGCTGAGGGGCGGGGCAAAAAGGGGGCAATTTGGCTATATTGCTTTAAGCACCTTCTTCTCTGGAACTAAGAGATGGATATCAACCATATTTTACTGGAAGCATCCTTAGGTGGTGAGGATTCAAAATTGTACAAATGGTGGGGCTGGCCCCCCAGGGGGCTGAGGGCAGGGCCAAAAGGGTTATTTGGCTATATTGCTTTAAGCGACTTCTCTGGAACTGAGAGATGGATGTCAACTATATTTGACTGGAAGCATCCCTAGGTGGTGGGGATTCGAAATTGTACAAATGGTGGGGCTGACCCACCAGGGGGCTGAGGGCGGGGCCAAAAGGTGGCAATTTGACTATATTGCTATAAACAACTTCTTCTGTAGAACTATGTCATGGATATCAATCATATTTGGTTGAAAGCATTCATGGGAGGCAGGGATTTAGAATTGTACAAATGGTGTGGCTGACACCCCGGACTAAGGGGTGGGGCCAAAAAAGGTTTATTACTTGGATATGGTTGAGATCCCCACCATACTACCATATATACAATTGCTGAGTATAAAGAAAGGAATGCACATTTGCTTCCAGGATGGCCCTAGGGTCTGTCCCCACCCTTGGAGACATAGTCCTTGGGCCATAGCTTTAAAACGGTTGAGATCCCCACCCCACAACTATATACAAATGATGGGCATAAAGAGCCGAATGCAGTCATGATATTAGAATAGACCCTGGGGTCTGAATGAACCCCTAGGGACCTAGTTTCTTAGTCACAGCTTGGAAACAGTTGAAATCCCCCCCCTATAACCATATATTCAATTGCTGAGTATAAAGAGATGAATGCACATATGCTTCCAGGATGGCCTTGGGGACTGCCCCACCCTTGTAGACTTAACCCCTGGGTCATAACTTCGAAATGGTTAAGATCCCCACCCCAAAACTATAAATACAATTGTTGGGCATAAAGAGACGAATGCAGTCATGATATTAGAATTGGCCCCAGGGTCTGTCCCACCCTTGAAGACTTAACCCCTGAGTAATAACTTTGAAACGGTTGAGATCCCCACCCCAAAACTATATATACAAATGCTGGGAAAAAGGGACAAATGCAGTCATGATATTAGAATTGATCCTGGGGTCTGGCTACAACACTAATGACCTAGTTTCTGAGTCACAGCTTGGAAACAGTTGAGATCCCCACCCCATAACCATACATAAAATTGCTGGGCATGAAAAATCTAATACAGATATGCTACAAAGTTTGGCCTTGGGGTCTGGCATATTCCCTTGGATCTTATTTGGAGAATATTTTGCCATGATTGCTTAGATATCCAGGTGAGCGATACAGGCCCACTGGGCCTCTTGTTTCTGGAGATACTTGAAAGACATAATACATAACCCCCAAGCCTGACACATTACTGGTAACTGAACTAAAATTCATAATTAGGAGAGACATTAGAAACATTTCTGCTGAAACATGTGCGACAGTAATCGTGAATTTCAGAAAGATATTTTCCAAAAAGGACGTCAGTTTGAGCATATCCAATAAATGGAAGAATTTGTTGATATCTGCAAAAACAAAAAACCATTTATGAAAACACTTGATATATATGTACGCATCATCTTCTTATTTGAATACAATGTACCATCAAAAGTTATTAACATTCAAAATAGACACATGTATTTTGGGACATTTTGTATGTTAAGTCTACCCACTAGTCTTTTAAAAAGGTGGTCCCATGCAGGCAAGGATACTGTTATCAAAGTAGGAAAATAAGTCATATCTTTAATATATTCAACGTTCTTTCTGCAATTAGATATGATGGCTGCATCAGTGCAAATTACTGACATATTAACTCGATGAATATCACTAAGGCAGTGAGTAACAGTCCTGATTAATTCAATGTCATGATGAAAACATATACCATGTATATATCACCTATATAATGTATGTATTTCTGAACAGTTTGGTCAGAGGACACCTGGCTACAGAAGCATGCTGGTGAAACATTGGATGACAAAATAGATGGAGAGGGCGAGGAAGAAGGCAAGGAAAATGGTGTTACTGGTGTGAAGAGGGCTGCGGAGGACACAGACACGGTAGGTACTAAGTGATGCCAACTTTCCAATTAAAAAGCTTTTTATTACTCTTTAATCAGCAGGACAATAATCATGTACACCTTTAATGGCCTTGCAATTTCCTCTTTAAATTATTAGAATTGATAACCATTTTCATACGACCGTCAAATTTGACAGTAGTATTATGGTGTGGCGTTGTCCGTCCATCCGGCGTAAACTTTGTTTGTCCAGCAATCTCCTCCTACATTTTTCGACTGATCTCTTTGAAACTTAGTATACATTATGATCATGATATGAAGTTGTGTCTCCCTTAAAAGAATTTTGATTCGACAATTTTCCAAAAGTTATTGCCCTTCGTTCATTTCAGTATTTTATTTTTGTCCGGATATCTCCTCCTACGTTTTTCGACCGATCTCTTTGAAACTTTGTATACATTATAATCATGATATGAAGTTGTGTCTCCCTTAAAGAAATTTGATTCGACAATTTTTCCTAAAGTTATTGTCCTTTGTTCATTTCAGTATTCGATTTTTGTCCGGAGATCTCCTACATTTTTCGACTGATCTCTTTGAAACTTGGTATACATTATAATCATGATATGAATTTGTGTCTCCCTTAAAAGAAATTTGATTCAACAGTTTTTAGCTCACCTGGCACGAAGTGCCAAGTGAGCTTATGCCATGGCGCGGCGTCCGTCGTCCGTCCGTTCGTCCGTCCGTCCGTTCGTCCGTCCGTCCTTCAACTTTTCCTTTGAACAACTTCTTCTGAAGAACGGACAGGCCTAGAGTCAAGATATTTGGCTGAAAGCTTCGTTGGTAGGAGTCCTAGTAAGTTTGAGAACGAAAATGACCTTGACCTGTTTTCAAGGTCACAGGGGTCAAATATGTCAAAAACTTCAAACGACTTCTTCTAGAGAACTAAAAGGTATAGAATCTTCATATTTGGCTGATGGCTTCCTGGGATAGAGCCCAACAAAGTTTGAGAATGAAAATGACCTTGACCTACTTTCAAGGTCACAGGGGTCAAATGTGTCAAACACTTCAAACGACTTCTTCTGAAGAACTGAAAGGTATATAATCTTTATATTTGGCTGGTGGCTTCCTGGGATAGAGCCCAACAAAGTTTGAGAATGAAAACTAGTTTGACCTACTTTCAAGGTCACAGGGGTCATATATGTCAAAAGCTTCAAATGACTTCTTCTGAAGAACTGAAAGGTATAGAATCTTTATTTTTGATTGATGGCTTCCTTGGATAGAGCCCGACAAAGTTTGAGAATGAAAATGACCTTGACCTTCTTTCAAGGTCACAGGAGTCAAATGTGTCAGACACTTCAAACGACTTCTTCTGAAGAACTGAAAGGTATATAATCTCTATATTTGGCTTGTAGCTTCCTAGGAAAGAGCCGAACAAAGTTTGAGAATGAAAATGACCTTGACCTTCTTTTAAGGTCACATGAGGCAGATATGTCAAACACTTTAAACGACTTCTTCTGAAGAACTGGTAGTTATAAAATCTTAATATTTGGCAGGTGGCTTCCTGGGAAAGAGCCAAACAAAGTTTGCGAATGAAAATGACCTTGACCTACTTTCAAGGTCACAGCGTTCAAATATGTCAAACAGTTCAAACAGCTTCTTCTGAAGAATTAAAAGGCATAAAATTATAATATTTGGCTGGTGACTTCCCGGGATAGAGCTCACCAAAGTTTGCAAATGAAAATGACCTCAACCTACTTTAGAGGTCACAGAGGTCAACAACATTTTAATGGATTTGTTCTTGAGAACTAAAAGGAATGGATTCATAAGATTTGGCTGGTAGCTTTTTGGAATAGAGCTAACCAATTTGAGAAGGAAAATAATATTGACCTACTCACAAGATCACAGGGAAAAATATGTCAGCAACTTCTGAAGAAGAATCAAAAAGCATAGAATCTTATAATAATATTTTGCTGGTAGTTTCAACAGATGGAGCCAACAAAGTTTGCGAGGGAAATATTTGTAGTGCAATATAATATTTAATGAGAATATTTTGCTATGACTGCTTAAATATTCAGGTGAGCGATACAGGCCCTCTTGGGCCTCTTGTTACAAAAGTTATTGCCCTTTGTTCATTTCAGTTATTGATTTTTTGTCAGAAGATTCTCTCCTACATTTTTAGCTCACCTGGCCCGAAGGGCCAAGTGAGCTTATGGCATGGTGCAGCGTCCGTCGTCCGTCCGCCGTACGGCATCAATATTTTACTTTAAACAATTTCTTCTTAATAACCGCAAGGCCTAGGGTGATGATATTTGACCAGAAGCAAACTGGGATGAAGGGCTACAAAGGTTGTTCAAATAAATGACCTTCATCTTTTTTCAAGGTCACAGGGGTCAAATATGTTTAAAACTTTACACAACTTCTTCTGAATAACCAAAATGCCCAGGGTGATGATATTTGGCAAGTAGCATGCTGGGATAAAAGGGCTACCAAGTTTGTTCAAATGAATGGCCTTCATCCATTTTCAAGGTCACAGGGGTCAATTGTCTTAAAAAATCTTTCTACAACTTCCTCTGAATAACTAAGAGGCCTAGGATATTGATATTTGGCAAGTAACATGCTGGGATGAATGGCTACCAAGTTTGTTCAAATGAATGACCTTTAAATATATTCAAGGTCACAGGGGTCAAATATGTTTAAAAACTTTAAACAACAACTTCTCAATAACCAAAAGGCCTAGGAGGATGCTATTTGGCCAGTAGCATGACGTGATTAAGGGCTACCAAGTTGTTTAAATGAATGACCTTGACTGATATTCAAGGTCACAGGGGTCAAATATGTTTAAAACCTTGAAACAACTTCTTCTAAATAACCAAGGAGCCTAGGATGATGATATTTGGCAAGTAGCATGCTGGGATGAAGGTCTACTAAGTTTGTTCAAATGAATGACCTTGACAAATATTCAATGTCACAATGAGGAAATGTGTTTAAAACATTTAAACAGCTTCTCCTCAATAACCACAAGTCCTAGGATAATGATATTTGGCCAGTAGCATGCTGGGATGAAGGGCTACCAAGTTTGTTCAAATAAATGACTTTGACAAATATTCAAGGTCACAGGGGTCAAACATATTTGAAACCTTTATACAACTTCTTCTAACTAACTAAGAGGCCTAGGGTTATGATATTTGGCAAGTAACATGCTGGGATGATGGGCTACCAAGTTTGTTCAAATGAATGACCTTTACTTATATTCAAGGTCACAGGGGTCAAATATGTTTGAAACCTTTATACAACCTCTTCTTAATAACAAAGAGGCCAAGGGTTATGATATTTGGCAAGTAGCATGCTAGGATGAAGGGCTACCAAGTTTGTTCAAATGAATGACCTTGACAAATATTCAATGTCACAATGAGGAAATGTGTTTAAAACATTTAAACAACTTCTCCTCAATAACCACAAGTCCTAGGATAATGATATTTGGCCAGTAGCATGCTGGGATGAAGGGCTACCAAGTTTGTTCAAATAAATGGCTTTGACAAATATTCAAGGTCACAGGGGTCAAACATGTTTGAAACCTTTATACAACTTCTTCTAACTAACTAAGAGGCCTAGGGTTATGATATTTGGCAAGTAACATGCTGGGATGATGGGCTACCAAGTTTGTTCAAATGAATGACCTTTACTTATATTCAAGGTCACAGGGGTCAAATATGTTTGAAACCTTTATACAACCTCTTCTTAATAACAAAGAGGCCAAGGGTTATGATATTTGGCAAGTAGCATGCTAGGATGAAGGGCTACCAAGTTTGTTCAAATGAATGACCTTGATATGTATATCCAAGGTCACAGGGGTTAAATATGTTTCAAAAAAACTTTAAACAACTTCTCAATTAGCAAAAGGCCAAGGGTGATGATATTTGGCCATTCACAGTCTGGGATGAAGGGCTACCAAGTTTGTTAAAATTTATGACATTTGCTATATTCAAGGTCACAGTGGTCATATTTTTAAATCTTTTAATAGGTTCTTATGAATCAACCACTGATATTCTGCCTTTAGATGTATTTTAGTCCACCTTTAAGATAACAAGTGTGAGAGTAATACCAGGTGAGCGATTCAGGCCCATTGGGCCTCTTGTTTATAGCATACCAGCTAACCTCTCTTAGAATGATGCAGATCTTATTTCAATGAAAGAAAGTATATAACACTATATGGCATTCGACGGGCGTATTTTGTTCCGCCCCACAGTACTCTTGTTGTTAAATTATATAAATAATTGCCATTATATTTTTCTTGAGGTGTTATATTTATATTATTGTCATCAATGATTAAATAAAGGTACAGTTTATGTCAAAATGTTGCTACATTGTACTACATGTATATGTGTAGTGTGAACTTTAAGATAGAACAGTGTCATATTTGATGGTTTGTGGCAGTTTGTGGCAGTATGGAATATCTATACCATGTATTTGTTTTTCTGATTTAGACAACTGCATCAGCACCTAAGAGGAGCAAAGGGAATCCACAGGTTTACTTAGATATCAAAGTTGGCAGTCGGACGTCTGGACGGGTGGTAATAGAACTTCGGGCAGACGTCGTTCCTAAAACTGCAGGTAAACTGTCACGGCCATACCCTTCTCTCTGGTGAAGGCCAAATAAATCAATCTTTGGTTCTCAAGCACTTTTCCAAAAGTCCTGCAGTAATAATCACTACCGTAATACATCACCAGTGTAGAACACATCACTGTGACTTTTTTTGTTAAATGTTATTTTATTTCTTTTTTTGATTAGGTTACAAAGCTTGAATTTCCCCACCATAGAAATGAATGTTATATATCTCATTCTCAGGATGAACTTCCCATTAGAAAAGCTGTACATACAAATGTAATTCTGAAGGAAGTATTTGTTACTGAATCCACTGAAAACGTTCCATGAAAGCTTTGTATTTGTCATTATTTATTCTTTCGAACTAATAACAGAACTCATTTGTGGCAGATATCTAACTTACGAAACTAACAATTCTGGAAATTATGAATTCCAAAGTGTTATCCAAACCTCAAATTTTAAGGTAGTGTAACATATGTTTTAAGAATAATATCGGCATCAAAACTACCACAATGTTTAAATTATTAAAATCACAAATACCTGTTAAGTGGTAAGATGCAAGTTCTCCTCATCATTAGATATCAAATCCTTTGCTGCTGAAACACTAGGTTTCAAATATTTAGAGTCATTTACAAACATCATAGCCAAAAAGTGCTGTTTGTTTCATCAGCAATGTATCATGTATTATAGATTGGTAATCCAAAAGTTGACTGTTTTTTATCTGTTTCAGAGAACTTCCGATGCCTCTGCACACATGAGAAAGGATTTGGTTTCAAAGGCAGCAGTTTCCACAGAGTTATCCCCCAGTTTGTATCCTTGATTGTTACAAAGCGTAACACGATATAACACCGGGCAAACAAAAAAAAAGAGAAATCATTACACTTGTAATTCTTACCTGACCAAACTTGGCGACCCCAGGCAAAATCTTCATACTGATGAGCTGAAAAGCTCAAAGTAATAAAGAACTTGAACAATGGAAGACACATCGATATAGCTATAATTTGTAACAAATGAAAAGTATGTTATGTGCAAACATGGATTACTCGGTGTACTTGTCTGAACAAGGTAAATTTGTCCAATGAACTCCATTACCAGGAAATACTATTGTATTCCATTGTAATAATAATAATGAAAAATCAATACCCACTAATCTTAATTTCACAAATTTGGTGCAAAAGTTGATTTTCTTTAAGGTCTTCAGTTGATTTCCACTCTGCTGAATGCATGATTTATTTGTCAGTATGTATACCTGGTTTAAAAAATCTACAAAAGCTAACCCCAGAAATCTATAGCCATGACACAATGAGTAAGTTTGCTTCTCCCTGAACCTATAGTAGATGTGTCAAGGAGGAGATTTCACCAACCACAACGGTACTGGGGGCAAGTCCATATATGGGCGCAAGTTTGAAGACGAAAATTTCATCTTAAAACATACAGCATCAGGTAAGAAATTAGTTTTCCTCATAAAGAGAAGAATTAGTTATAATTAAAGATAAGTGCTTGTGGTTTCCACAAAAAATTAAAAAAAACACCAAAATGACATTGCATACAACTAAATGCTGACCTGTATGCGTTTTTCCATGTTGTAGGTACTATGTCAATGATGCTGACCTGTATGTGTTTTTCCATGTTGTAGGTACTATGTCAATGGCTAACTCGGGTCCCAATAGCAATGGATCACAGTTCTTCATTTGTACTGAAAAAACAGATTGGTGAGTGGGGTTTGTTTATGAATTTATTAAGTATTCAAGACAAGTCGGTATCAAGTTGAATAAAAAAAAATCATGTATTGCCTTACCATGTACATAGTCTGAAAAGTCAGGTAACTTACATTGTAGCATCTGTATATCATCTTTTCCTTTAAAGACTACTAGTTCATAGTTAATAACTGTTTCTTTTTTAGTATGCCCCCGCCATTTAATGGGGGGGGGGCTATAGTATTGCCCAGGAGTGGGGGCATTTATGTCTTACAGACATTTTCTAGTTTTTTATAAATTAAAAACAAAGGAATTTTGGACAAAACACGATATTGTGTTGAAATTTCATCGCTAAGCAATTTCAACCATTCAGAAATTAATATTACATATACCACGCCAAACAATGCGGTATATATCATCATTTTGCGTTGTGTGTTTTTAAGGTAAAGTTAGGTTAAAGCCTGAAAAAGTCTGTCATTGGAGTGGGGGGAATAAAATCATATTGTAAGCACATGCTTAGGGCAAAGATGACTTTTGGGACGCTTTCGTTTATCGCGATCCAAACGGTTGAACCGGTTGGACCAGAGTTGATCGTTTATTAAATAAGGTTGGACCCAGTAATCAGATGCTGTTTTCAGGCAAGTCTTGACAAAGCCTTGCAAGGCCTGCATTAACTTTTGCAGGTCTGCCAGGATTTATACCAAAAAAATACTACACTTAAAAACTGACGAACTGGTTGTTACGCATAAACGAACAGGCCCTAGGTCTTAAATTCTTATCAAACCATATCTAAAACCTTTAAAAGAAAATTTAGCTCAGTTAGTAGAAAAATCTGACATGATGAATATAAGTGTCATGGAATTAGTCAACCCTACATCATCAAAGTACAAATAAAAACGTAGCAAAATACAACTTAATAGTTTAAGTAAGAAGCATTTATTCAAGTTATCTCCCTTTCCACAGCTTAATCTTTGATACTCTAGTATATAAACTGATCATGTTTAAAGTGTTAGAGAATGACTGGTTAGTTGACAATGTGCAACCCCTACACACCGACCCCAAGTCTACCCATATGTATGTGGATAAGGATAACTCACTGATTCAGGGCCTATTTATCTGTTTCTTTATATTTACAGACAAAAATTATTGAAAATTAATTAAACAATAACTGGTTGTCTGGATGTAATCATTGTTGATATAATTACGAGTGGCCTCTGGCAAATCCCATAAAACCCGCTATATCAACAATAATTACATCCAGACAACCAGGTATTTTTTATATTTACATATTTTTCTTTTTTAAGACATATTCCTACAAAAACCATTTGCCCTGCCTCAAAATACATTTCAGGCGGCCATTTTGTTTGTTTACATATATTCCTACACCTGAAACAGGCAGTTGTAATTATAGTCGAGCAGTTGTAATTATAGCCTATATAATTACACTTGCCCTCTAACACTGTTGTAATGGGACGGCGCGGGGGCAAATGTAAATATTTATTCGTAATACTGTATTATGTACTAGTCACTGAACTTTCTAATTTCTGTTAAAATATAAACCATGACTTCTAAACTGTTGAATTGCATTTGATGAAACAGATTAGATGTCATAAATGTATGTCAGGTTTGGATGGCAAAGGACTAGGACCGTTAAAAGTAGTTTTTCGGCCTCATCAGGGATTTTGAATTTACTGATATTTTCGTAATCTGGAATAAATGAAGTATGCAAATATGAAATTTCAAATTAATATGACAACTGGTTAAGGAGATATAGCTTTACAAAGAGAGACATAAACCCCTATTTTCACAAGAAAGTGTGTGAATATAATCATCTGTTATGCGCTATTTGGTTGAAAACAGGCTATTTTGAAGGAAATTAACCAAACACTCTTCAATTTTTGAAAGCCTCCGCATGCAACATTTTTTTTTATACCAGTGTTCATTCATAGAAAGGAATTTTTGTTTGTCACATGCCGAGGCTTTCATTTATGCATGCTAAATGTCCCGAAACACCATATATTGGGCTATTTCTGCATAGCAACGCAATTTCGCATCTATGCATGTGCATTGGAAAAAATCTGCACCAAGAAAGATAGCCCCAATTAACCAATATGATGTTTATAGCAGAAAATGGTAAATAATTAGGGCCCCGTATCGGAGATACGGGTGCCCTAATGTAATCAGTGTCTGTCCGTCCGTCCATCTTCCTTTCTGTCTGTCCATCCACAAATTTTGTTCCTGGTTGATAACTTTAGTATTTATTGACCGATTCACATGAAACTTTGTCAAGATGTTCAGTTCACAAAAATGAGTATTGCACTGGTATTTACATTTCTGTTAGCCAAGCAAATATGGAGGTGGAAGGAAACAAGACTCACATCATAGTACATGTAAAATGTATGTTTTGCTTCCTTGCGATTCTTTTTGAAGCCAAAATGTTAAACATCAAGCTCAGCTATATGGGCAGATTGCTTCTTGATGATTATGGGGGATATGTTGCCACAAGACGGGGCCCTTGCTGATAACTTTAGTATTTATTGACCGATTTACATGAAACTTGGTCAAGATGTTCAGTTCACAAAAATACACACTGAGGTAAAAAGCCAAAGTCCAAGGTTAAGATCATTAGGTTAAAATGTCCAGGTAAAATTTTGCATCTTTTCAGTGATGAACATTTTGTTATGACATGATGAAGCAAAGTTGATCAGAATTAAACAAGGAGTCAATTGACCAAAGGTCAAGGTCAGAGGTCAAGGTCAAAGGTCAAGGTCAAATTTTGTAGCTTTTCACTAATGAGCATTTTATGACATCATGAAGCAAAGTTGGTCGGAATTAAACAAAGAGACACACTGAGGTAAAGAGTCGAGGTCAAAGATCAAGGTCATTAGGATCAAAGGTCCAGGTCAAATTTTGCATCTTTTCACCGATGAACATTTTGTTATGACATGATGAAGCAAAGTTGATCAGAATTAAACAAGGAGTCAACTGATCAAAGGTCAAGGTCAATGGATCAAAGGTCAAGGTCAAATTTTGTAGCTTTTCACTGATGAGCATTTTATGACATTATGAAGCAAAGTTTGTCAGAATTAAACAAATAGTCAACTGACCAAAGGTCAAGATCACTGGGTCATAGGTCAAGGTCAAATTTTGTATCTTTTCACCTATGAACATTTTGTTATGACACTATGAAGCAATGTTGGTCAGAATTAAACAAGGGGTCAACTGACTAAAGGTAAAGGTCATCGGGTCAAAGATCAAGGTTACATTTTGTATCTTTTCACTGGTGAACATTTCGTTATGACACTTTGAAGCAATGTTTGTTGGAATTAAACGAGGAGTCATTTGACCAAAGGTGAAGGTCACTGGGTCAAAGGTCAACATCAAATTTAGTATCTTTTCACTGATGAACATTTTGTTATGACATTATGAAGCAAAGTTGGTCGGAATTTAGCAAGGATTCAACTGACTTAAGGTCAAGGTCACTGTTCAGTTCAAATATTGTATCCTTTTACTGATGAACATTTTTTTAATGTTGTTATGAAGCAAAGTTGTTCCGAACTTAACACAGAGTCAATTGACCTAAGGTCCAGGTTATGGGGACCAAAGGTTCAAGGTCAAGGTCAAGTTTTGTATTTTTCACTGATGAACATTTTTGTTATGATATTATGAAGCAAAGTTGGTTGGAATTAAAGAATAACTCAACTGACCAAAGATCAGGGTCACTGGGTTAAAGGTCAGGTCATTTGGGTCCAAAGGTGAAAGGCACACTGAGGTAAAAAGTCGAGGTCAAAGATCAAGGTCATTAGGTTCAAAGGTCCAGGTCAAATTTTGCATCTTTTCATCGATGAACATTTTGTTATGACATGATGGAGCAAAGTTGGTCGGAATTAAAGAATAAGTCAAATGACCAAAGATCAGGGTCAGTGGGTTAAAGGTCAGGTCATTTGGGTCCAAAGGTGAAAGGCAAAGCAGATCTCTGACTTTGACCTTCGATCTTGATGGAGGAGGTATTTAAGGTGAAATAAAACTAATCAAAGCTAACCAATGAGTATTGCACTGGTATTTACATTTCTGTTAGCCAAGCAAATATGGAGGTGGAAGGAAACAAGACTCACATCATAGTACATGTAAAATGTATGTTTTGCTTCCTTGCGATTCTTTTTGAAGTCAAAATGTCAAACATCAAGCTCAGCTATATGGGCAGATTGCTTCTTGATGATTATGGGGGATATATTGCCACAAGACGGGGCCCTTACTGACCTGTCAGTGTTCTAGTTCATTTTTTTTTTTTAAATATGAACTATGTATTGCAAGATCGAGGTCACTTCCATGGGTCAAAAGTCAACGATCTTATTCTTGCATTGGGCCTAACTATAGCAAAAGGGTTTGAAAAGGATTTTAATTAACTTTAGCCAAAATCCTATTTGTTGCATAATCCTTTTTGTCTGTGCCTTGAGTTGAGACAGTACAATGGGAGTTATAATTTCGTTTTTAATTTAACCGTCAGAGAGAGAAATTGGTTCCGTGTTTGAAGAACCAAAATTACGCAATGTACAGTATTACTTTCCTCCTTAATTGTGAAAATTTAAATGGAAATCATATAAAGTTGTTGGAAAATGATCAATGGCTACTTGTTTCTAATTACAGGCTGGATGGTAAACACGTGGTGTTTGGCAGGGTGATAGAAGGCTACGAGATCGTGAGGAAAATGGAGGTAAACAATATCTGTGATCAATAACTTATAAGTAAGGACTTTGTTAGAGAGACAATAAATGGAATTTTAATTTATTATTTGGAATGTGATAGGCTATAGCTTTTTGTCAGATATTGCAGGATGTCAGAATTAGACAGGTTTCTATATATTTGTCCCTAATCATTAGGGATCTAAGTCTGGTGTCTTACTCCTGAGTTTATGGGGATAAGAATGTACAGTTGATTGTAGAGGCTGTACTTTATGTTTCAGTGATTTATGTAATTATAATAGTATAGAATTTGTATAGAGTTGTGTCATTTCATAAAGATTCTTGAAAGAGCTTAATATGAAACAATATGAAAATATTAGTCTTTTTATGATATGTTAACGGATCTTTAATTCTCCTGTACATCAGATGAATATAGGATCTTTGATAATTTCTGTCTAATGTGAGATTAACTAAATGAGTAGAATTTCATTTCTGTGAGCCTTTCGCGCACTAAATAAAAGCCTAGGGACAAGTTCCACTAATTGGAGGAGAAAGTATCAGTATAAAAGACAATGATTGGACTAGATGTTGAAACTATCTTTTCATTTTCTTTTAGGCATGTGGAACAAAATCTGGGAAACCAACTGACAAAATTTCTATTACAAACTGTGGGGAACTAGTATGACATGGCTCCCTGACTTAATATAGAGATAGCACCAGTGAGAAGTTACCACGGTAACCCGACTATGACAGAGTACACCTAAACAAACCTGTCTGTACCTAATCATGTGACAGAAAATTGGCAAGGATGCTAAATGGTGTGTCAGGGCCTTCTGGAATCTGTGACAGCTTCAAGCTATCATGTTTGCTCGTGACCTTTGACCTGTTTTGAGTGTTTCAGTAAAAGTGCCTGACCTGTTTTGAGTGTTTCAGTAAGAGTACTCAACCTGTTACAGTATAGTACTACTGGTGGATGTCTGTACACCTGGTGTGCACTGCTGTGTAGTGACAGAGAACAAAACAAGCTCCAAGCATGATTAGTTCAAACGAATAACAGGTTCTGTATAACAATATGGGGATTTTGTAATTCATATACCAACACTTTATTCTGTTTTAATGTCTTGTTCTTTGAGGTCAGATTTGATACCCGATATATATAATGATAAATATGTTTTATTACAAACTTTTAAAGTCTTGTTAAATTGCCAGAACAGCTGAAGTAGGAGTGCCGTGAAAGATGTCTGGTACTACAGAGGGCAGGGACTTTTATAGAAAGAACAGTAAAATAAACTGTATATGAACAGCTGTTTTCAATGTATACAGGTCAGATTTATGTTATAGATCAACACTTGCTTGTTAACTAAATAAATGATGTTACATTGTATGAATTTTATAAATAAATGCAGATTTTGAGATCTTTTGTTCTTTATTGTATAACTTTCTGAGTGGAAACATTATTCCATTTTCAGTTCTCTGGACTAAATGTCCAATCAGTCTTCCTCTATGGTTTGTTGTCCATTTTCAGTCAGGCTGGCTAGTGTCAACTTTTTTTTAAAGTTTTAAATGATTTCTAAATAACTAAGATGCCTAGGGTAGTGATATTTGGCTAGAATCAGCTTGGACAAATTGCTATGAAGTTTGTTAAAATGAATGACCTTTATCCACCTTTAAGGCCACATGGGTCAGATTTGTTAATACGTTAAACAACTAATCAATAACCAAGCCTAGGTTGATGATATTTGGCCAATAGCATGCAGAGATGAAGGGATGTGAAGTTTGTTTAAATGAATGACTTATCCCACTGCCAAGGCTACAGGGATCAAATTTGTGAATACCTGCATTTTAAAAACTTCTTCTGAAAGTCTAGTAGTATGCTGGGATGAAGGGGTCTCAAGTGTGTTCAAATAAATGACATTGACCCGTTTTGAGGTCACAGCAGTCATGTAGATTAATGGTGTACTGTGATATGAAGTGTGGTTCTGCATTAACCAAAATAGAAAGGCAGATTGGTAAAACAACAAATCTGAGTGTCAAGAAAAACAAAATATACCAGCAAGGTTCTCAGCAATGATGGTTATAAAATATACCAACAACGGCTCAAAGGTGTACATCAATGATAGTTACAAAAATACCAACCACGACTCAAAGGTGTACAGCAATGGTAGTTATAAAATATACCAACCACAACTCAAAGGTGTACAGCAATG